ACAGATCAGCCACTTCATCCATCTGCCTGTGGCACAGTCCATGAATAGCCTAATCTATCCATCATGGTTCCTTTTGGTCCGTCTCATCTACAACGGGTTCCCACAGCCTGGGACACCACTGGGGTTTTTCTGACCAGTACTTCAGGTTGTTTCATCCTGTAACAATGCCACACCTAAAAGTTTATTTCCTTTGCATTTCTCAAGATTCTTTCATGATGTTTCACAACATAAACCGAATCATTTCCTGCTTCCTGTCACAAAGAAACATTACCATCAGAGTGTGAATGGGTTAATGATTGACTTAGTCTAAAACCGGATGCAAATGCATACCACTACACATGAGTCTGATGTGTTCCTGTGTGATGAAAATATTACCTACCCACCTACCTGATCATCTGTCCACACACACACACACACACACACACACACACACACACACACACACACACACACACACACATTTTGGAGAACTAACCACAGATCTTATATATATATATATATATATATATATATATATATATATATATATATATATATATATATATATATATATATATTTCTATTACATCACTCTGCTGATTGTCTTGGCCCATCCCTCTTCCTCTCCTTCCATCCAATCATTTCCCCCTCACCCCCACCCTGGCTGTCCTTGGGCTGCTGTTTCAGGTGGAGGATGCAGTATTATGCTGAGTCGCGATGAAACAGCATTCAGTCTTTGCTCGTCAGCAGGCACCTCTCAGCCAAGCCTGAGACAAAACAACATTACCCAGAATTCCCTGCAGCAGCCATTTACTGTCTCCTGCTCTGAGCACAGCCCCGTGGAACTCAGGGAGTTACAGTCCACAACCATCAGCTGCTGCTAGAGTCAGAAGGAGGAGAGGGTGACGTGCCATGACAACAGTCAGAGGGAGACACACGGAGAGGTGAGCATCATCTGATTTGTTTATCTGCTGTTTGTCCTTCTGTTCTGCTGTTCTACTGGCCTTCTGTACTGGTAACTGTCTCATCTCATCTTCATCCCCCATGTTTCTGACTGCGTAATTCTGCTGGAGTGGAGAGAGAGAGAGAGAGAGAGAGAGAGAGAGAGAGAGAGAGAGAGAGAGAGAGAGAGAGAGAGAGAGAGAGCATCTTTACCCAGTTGCTAACAGCTTTGAATTGAATTGAATTTTACGTCCCTCAGCTCTACTAAGAGTATGATGGTTAAGGAGGGAGTAAAGAAAATGAATTGTGAAAATAACCAACCAAATTCAGGGCCAGATTAAGACCTCGTTGTACCCTGGGCAACAATTTTTCAAGGGCCCCATCATCACAACCCAAGGATCACCATAAAATGGTCACATACAGAATATTTACTGAAATATGCAGTAAATATACTCAATACTTGAATGCCTAACATCACGTAACCTGCTCAGGGTAACCTTTGACCCACCTCGTGTGGACTGACCAATGAGGAGAGGGTCTTAACTTGAGGCCCTCTCTTCATTGGTCAGTCTGCATGAGACTGACTCGCAACACATTCTCACTCCCAGTGTGTCAAAAACAAACGCTTGGTCAGCCACCCTCCACGTCAGACCCCTGACGCCAAAAGTGCCCTTTTTCGTTACTTGTGTGAGAAAAGGGTTTTTTCCCTTTTGTGACTGCAGATCCCAATGCAGCGTAAAACTGACGTGATGAGATATCCGCTGATGCGGCACCGAACCAGCTCATTTAACCGCACCTAAACCTTAAAGTTTCACTATTTATAACCTTCCCCTCTCCCTCTTCCTAACCTTAACCCTCTTGCTACCTAAAACGTTACTCTCACTGTGATCAAGCGTTTGTTTCCCATGCATTCTGACTCTGACAGTCAGAGTCTGACTGTGATTTTTCGTATTTGCTGCCCAAGGGGAACGTTAGAACATACCATCTGGCGAGGGGGAGGTTACAAACACCCTCTACTTTTAACCTCCATCGTGGTAGTTGAAACCTCCCCCTCACGTTGGCTCGGTCCAAACTCGACCAATGATGAGGCGGCTCCCGCCATTCACTTCATAGAGCCGGCTTTTAGAGCGATCGACACATCACTAACGTGTTCGCTAGCAAGATGGTTGAGGTTAGGATAGGGGTGAGGGGAAGGGTAAATAAGAGGATAAGGTTAAGGTGAGGTACAATGAGCTTGTTTGGTGCCCTGGCTGCGGACATCCCATCGTGTCAGTGTAACGCTGCATTGGGATCTGCAGTCAAAGAAGGGAAAAATCCCTTTTCGCACATAAATAATGAAAAAGGGCACTTTTGGCGTCAGGGATCTGACGTGGAGGGTGGCTGACCAAGCGTTTGTTTTTGACGCGCTGGAAGTGAGAATGTGTTGCTCAACCGCTCTCAACTGACGTTCAGTCATAGGCAGCAAAGCGTCTCTGTGCAGCGAAAAAGCCCGGGTGGACAGTTTGTTTAATGTAGGGTGACCATATTTCCATTTCCAAAAAAGAGGACAGGGGATCTGTGCCTATGACGTCACACTATGGCAACGCTACACAAACCATGCTGGGACCCATTTTTTTGTAAGAACTAAATTAATATCAGATTCTGCCAATAAAAGGGCTCCAAAACAATTCATATGTAAATATTTAGCATTTTTATTGCAAAATCTCATTTTTCTGCTTTAGTGCTGCAACAAGGTTTTATTAATAAGGAATTATTATACCTTTTGTTTTACTACAGCATCTGTAAGCTTCCTGCGCACAGATTATTAAGGATGCTTGTTTCAACTGTGAGATTAGACGATAGGATCAATGAATGTCACACACTCCATAGAAACTTTCAGAGAATCCACAAATGGTGGCTTTCAAATGGTTTTGTTACTTTTTGTAAGTTTAGAAAAGCAGTAGATGAGACAGCATGTCTGATAAGTTAGTTTTTCATCTGATAATAGTAGAACATGTCAGTAATGTCTGAGGGGCTTTTATAAACACTGTATAACTAACACTACTGGAGAGGGTATGAATTACACAGAGGCCTCTGGGGAGCCCAGTTATGGGGGGGGGGGGGGGGGGGGGGGGGTCATTTTGCCTTGGCCCCCATAATGTCTTGAAACGGCCCTGGGTGTGTGACTGAGTTTTGAAGGTGATCTGAATTGTATCAGATGTATAAATATTACATGTGTATAACTTATTGTTTTATACAGGTAAAAACGTGAAGTGGAGATAAATCTACCTACATTTTACTTTGTTTTCTTGTTTTTATTTTTATTTTATTTTCCTGTCATGTCTGTCTCTCATCTTCCTGCATCTCCTTTAAACTCTCTAGAAAATCTGCTGCCTGGATTCTTACTTTTTCACCTCATCAGTTACTTTGAGCAGATCAAAGGGATCTCCTGACCGCAAAGCAGAGAGCGTGTTTCGATGCTGCATCAGTGAGGTGAAATCACCGCAGCACAGGTGATGAGCTCTGCAGTAGCAGAGCGCTTCAGGCACAAATAAGACAGAAAGTAGAGAACATGTGTGGACATGAACGATCGTGTGTTAATTATAGTTTTCTGGTTGCGCCACTTTGAGAATGGACCGTGCGCTGGAAGCAGCTGCCTGGAGCGCTGCGCAACAACGCAGCGCTGTGCCGCTCTCTATGCTCTCTGCTCAAAAGAGTCCATAAATGATGTAATACAGGTAGAACACTTTTTTCCGGCTCCCCTGGATGTGTAGGATATACAGCTCCCCCGTAATTCGATCCCTGCTCCTGGATGAAACACTGGACATTTTCATCAATACAAGAACCCCCCGGACAGAGAGTGAAACGTGGACATGTCCAGGGAAAAGAGGATGTATGGTCACCCTAGTTTAATATAAAGCGGGAGATTACAGATACAGTACTTTGCTCGTGCTCTTGCTGCCCTGAGCCTGGGCCCTTTAGAGTTCGAGAGCCCCTGGGCAATTGCCCCGTAGCCCATATGGTTAATCTGGCCTTGACCAAATTACATCTCTTAAAAGGGAGTTTATTAAAGAAAACAGTTATATGGGCTGGAAGGAATAAATGGAATTAATACAAAAACACAAATGGTCATCCAAAACTGGAGAATAATAAGCAAAGGACCAATAACAAACAAAACGAGCTCTAATAAACACAAAGCACAAGCGCATAAGGCTGGGTGAAAACTACAACAAACACAAAACGCTTCACAAAAAGGGTGAGCCGAGTCTCTCTTTAACGAGGACGATACTAAATAGAGAAACAAATGAAGGTGTTTCACTAGAACAGATCAAAATCA